ACTTCATCAAATGAGATGCTAAGGATCTCCTTTCAATAGCATATTCTTATTGCATTTTATTGTGATTTGGTTTACAAAAGTGAGTCTTGCACACAGCTGTTCAGGAGCAGAGCCAATGACTAATGGCGGATCTGCCTTGAATGGAAAATGCTGCTGAGCAAACTATGTTGACAGCTATTTTAGGACCACCAAGCATGTGTTTGCATTTTCAGGAGTGGAAGGAGAGATAATATTTATTTGGTATCTAACACCATGCCAGGCACTATGCTAACTTTACATTTCTAAGCCCATGTAATCATTATACAAACTTGTTGAAGGAGCTGTCTGTTTCCCCACGTTGAAGGTAAGCATACAGGTTCAGAAGGGGGAAAATAACTTGCCTGAACTCACTAAAAACGTAGTAGTGGCGTTTTAACTAACTAAGCGTTTGGCCCTGCCCGCAACCCTCTCACCACCCCACACTTCTGTGTTCTGCCAGTGGAATTTGGTGTCCAGAAGGTTCTTTATTATCAAATTAGACCACTCACCTGCCTACAAAACTCTAATGTGCACAGAGTGTCTGGTGGTTCAGCGAGACACACAGCAGCGAATCCTGCCACGTGAGGGCACATTCAGAGCTCTGCAGGGAAATGGGCCAGACCAGAGGGCCAGGAAGTTCCTGGAAGCCAAGCTACCTTCACGTACGTAGTAACAGGCACAACAGGAGCTTCAATCTCTGAGGCCACTGCTTCCTATTGGCACTAGCCTGACAGGTGTGCTTTGGAAAGGTCTGAGACATGTACATCAGTCCCTACAGAAGCAAATCCAAATGCTACTACTGCAACCCGGTGGCAGGCTTTTATCTTCTAAGAGTCTAAGCATGCAGAGCACATGTCCCTGCCTCTCCCTGGTGCCCCAGAACAGCCTCTGACTTCACTTAGCAAAGGCTGACTTACTGGACACCCCATGCCCGTGGATGCTCCCTGGGCATCCTTGTCTTCTTACCTTCCTACACAATAGGAAGTGTGCAGACCTTTTGCTGGCCTTTTATTGGTGTCCACGTTAAACTCCCAGCAAAGATGTCCCAAATTAGGCCTTTCTTACAGGCTGCCAGATCTCTTTGTTCTTTATTTCCTTTTGCTCATTTTGTGAACTTGTAGTCTTCTAATCTGTACCTTTTCTAAGAAATCTTTCTTTGCCCTTTTTGTTATTCTAGAGGAAAACTATAGAAGGGGAATCATTGCCGTATGTCATTGTTCAGACAGAGCCAGAAATGCTGTTTATTTCAGAGCTGAACTTAGCCCCAGTCAGAAGGGTGGCCTTTGTGTTCTCATTACGTAGGGGGTGGGGAGCCATCACATGTGCTGGGATGCATTCTAATGAATGTTTATGAGGCCATGGGGATCACATTGGTGGCTTTGTCCGCCTGATTATGAAATGGGGCTCTGCAGGCATTTGTATAGGGAGAGGAAGTAATTAATTTCTAAAAGATACCACGTTATTCCTCCTCCCTCCTCCCGCACTTCCTACCACCAAAAGCAGGACCAGTGAGGGAACTGACTAGGAGTCGAGACACCTGAAGTCTAATGCCCTCATCCTTTAATTGACTACAAAAAACAAAACGCAAATCCCGGCCCCTTCCGTTTTCTCCGGGAAGAGAGGGTTTCAATCTGCTCACTAGAAGTCCTATCAGTAACCTCTGCTGTACCCACTGCCATGGTGAGAGGGCAGGATCATGTGCAGGATGGGGCCTGAAGGCAGCGGGGTGTAGCTGGCAGCTGGGACTAACAGCTGGCTGTCACTGAGACTGGAACACGGTGTGGCTGTTAAGCAGCAATGTTCAGAAAGGACTGGAAGCTTGCGAGGGATCACTGTGAGAAGAAGTCAATGCAGAGCATGGAGCTGTCTTGATACATAGCCTTGATCTCAAACTGTGGCTGTGGGGTTTAATTGCAAACACATGGCTCAGGCAGGCAGAACATGAGCAACAGCATCCCTGGCCCGGGTGGCCTGACAGAGGTACCAGTGGGACAGGGGGTGTGAGGACAACCCAGCCATCCTCTCACATCATACAACAAGGACAACAAATCAACAAGTCTCACATAACAAATCATGAGACTGTAAAAGGAGGCACAGAAGCCTTTATTTAAGGGCAAAACTCATAAGGTTCTCACATCGGGCTAACTGTAGAGAGCTCCTACCATCAAATTCCAAACGTGGAGCCTCTGGCAAAGGGGATCCATTTAAACCTACTAAGAAAAGAAAGTCCTCTGCCCAGACAGAAGCCTAGTTGAAGACCACTAGAGGGACATTCCTGGGGACAGCAAGGGGAGACTGTCCATCCTTGGGGACCTCCCTGAAATGTGTATTGTGATGAGCACCAGCAGCTGCCCTGATCCAGACTTGGCATAGCAAAGGTGGCACCTGCTCCAGCAAGTTGCACCCCACCAGCATAAGATGATCCTTGGTACTCCAAGGAGATGTCGCAAGGGCTGATTTGTTACAAGGAGCCAGCTGCTTTCTTGCTTTAGAGCTAAGTGGGGCCCATTTGTATGGATGGCGTTGGTGGGTGCTAGTGGCCCCTAACACAACCTTTAGTGTCTAGTGGTCATGCCCTGCCTTCCCCACTCCCTGCCACCTTAGACATCAGAACAGCACACTGGGTCCAACCATTGTCAGCTCAGTATCCCTGCAGCAGATCCTTGTATAAAACCCACACTCAGTCAACCCTGATTAGTCCATTTCACATATTTCTGGATTTCGTATATCAGATTTCTTTGGATTCTTTGGGGAATATAGAGAGGACCAACAAGTATCACTTTGGGACCCACTCACTTGTTTTGAGGCTGCTCTGTAACTGACTGAATGAATGGCCCAATCTCCCTAAGCTCAAAGTCCTTTGTGGCCATTTGTCCATGGACCCACTCAGCTTCTCTTTACTGTTCACCTCCTGTCGGGCAAATATTTGATGAGCTTCTCCCTAGACAGCTCAAGGAGCCCGTGGCTGCTGCCCTCATCCAGGCCCCTGGGTAGGAAAGTGGGCACAAAGGATGGCCAAGGCCTCTCCTTGTGTCTACGCTGTCCCTTCCCACCTTTTCCTGCCAGGTCCAAGTGGTGAGACCTCAGATGCATTTGGTGGCAGGGCTGCCCTTGTTCGAGTTATGTGCACCTCTCCCTTGAGGTGGTGAGCCCTTCGGGTGGGGTGAAGCGATGTCCTACTGTGCGGATGGATTGAGGCCACTGAGTGGTCATGGAGGGGCCCTGCATTTGACCTGGGAAACTGCTGGAAAATCTTGCCCCCTGGGGCTTAGGGGCGCATCATTAAGCAGAAGGGACTGGAGTCTCTGGCCCCTCCCACATTGTCTTACTGATACCAAGTACCACAAAGTCTGCCCCATTTCACTCAATAGAGCAGAAACAGGAGAAAGATTACAATTATCCTCCTTTTGCACATGAAGAATCCGGGGCTCAGACAGGCTAAACGGCAAAGCCAAGACGTAGTTGTATCTTCCCAAAGACTAGGGTCCTACCATATGCTGCCTGTACCCACACCCTGGGCTGGTGGTTTTCAACCTGCATGTCCATTTAGAATCAGCCACAGGGTGCACCCAAACTCCTGGAGGATCAAACTAAAGCAGGTGATATTTTATGGGAGGTCCCTGGATCTTAGATATGTCCAAGTGATTTTGCTGTACACCAAGGCCTGAGACATGCAGCCCTAGATGGTCTACTGTGAGCTTCACTTAGCCATGACAGTCATTGACCCTTAGGTTGACACCAGAGAATCAGCACTCTGTGCCCTAAGAAAATTTCCAAAGCTGAAAGAGTAGTTTGTATGGGCAAAAGTGTTTTAAGAGAATTATATCTGTTCACCTGTTGGCTTTCAAATGATGTCTCAGTACTGTCTTCCTTTTCTTATGTTGATCATTCCCACACATCCTCTGTTCCTTTCTCCCTTTCACTGCTGACCACCAAGCTGTGGCCAGTAACATGACAGCCATGGAGCAGTGTACAAAGCGGTGAAGAGTGGCACAGACTGCATTCCCGGTGGCTTTACTTTGTTCCCAAAGGCCATGCTTTCACACACAGTGGGCAACGCTCCCCAGGTACAGCGCTCACAGCATGGTCTTTTCCTGCTGTTTGATAGCTCTCCAACCTTAGGATGCATCTGCAGAGAGGAAGTTTTTACTTAAATAACTTGATACTTGCGGCTTTTGATTGCATGTCCTCATTAAAAAAAAATACAGAAAGGTAGAGAATAGAAAAGGTATTTTCCATTCATCCCCAAGAGAGGACTATTCAAAACGCTTGGGTATACAGTTTTCCAAGTTATTTTTGTATGTACACAAGCAATGCGTGCAAGTGTGTGTGTGCGTGTGTGTGCGTGTGTGTGTGTGTGTGTGAACATTAATGGAACAATGACTACAATTACTGTTCTGAAATCTGTATTTCCCTAAGCAATACACCTGCTCGAGAGCACACAGCCAGATCAACCGCATTCCTGTTGAATTCTGTTTTATTCATGCAGCCTGATGCATTTGACCAAGACAGCCAGCGTGAAAGCTCAACATCTGTATTACCGCTTTTTCTTGCTTGAATTTGGGATATCTGTAAACAAGAACTGGAAATATTCATGTTGAGCGACTCTGCTCTTGAACGCCTGCCTTTGGCAGCAAGTTCATTTAGTGATGCTGGCACAGTTTCACCGAATTGTTTTCTAAGTGGGCAAAGAATATCCTTTGCATGACTCTCTGTCCTGTTTAGTATACAGACACTATAGCACCTTATTTGAAAAGTAACAAGACTATCTAAATGAGGCATAGTAGCAAAGAAACAAACATCTTTTTCTCAAAAATAGGCTGTATTTTATAGTTTTGACAACTAGAAGTCTTTCAGCTGAGGTCTGTTTTATCTTGCAGGTTTCCTGTTCATTAGCATTAATGTGCCAAGCCTTTATAAAAATCTCTCCCCCGCTTCTCTCTCCCTCTCTCTCTCACTCTGCTTTTTCTTTCCTCTTTCAGCCACAGGGAACCATTAAGAGGAGACAGGAAGGAGATGACTTCCAATTTCCAGGCATGGCTGATGGAGGTTACCCTAATAAAATTAAGAGGCCCTGCCTTGAAGATGTCACCCTCCAGATGGGCCCAGGTGCCCATCCCAGTACCCTCTGTGCAGAGTTGCAGGTCCCCGCGTTAACGATGGCTCCTAGCTCTGCCACGATGGGAGCATCTGGCCAGTCCTTCCTACTCGAGCACAATCCCATGAATGGCAGTGTGACAGGGTCTCCATATGGGGTGCAACCAGCTCCAGAAATGGGGCTGAAAGGGCCCAGCATTCCTTACTACGAGAAAATGAACAGCATGCCGGCTGTAGACCAGGAGCTTCAAGACCTGCTGGAGGAGTTAACCAAAATTCAGGAACCTTCTCTGAGTGAACTAGATCTGGAAAAGATCCTGGGGAGCAAACCAGAAGAGCCACTGGTCTTACACCATACACAGACACCCGTAGAGACACCGCCCAAGCTTCCGGTGCAGATGCCACCATTAGAGGGCCTGGATTCTGGCAAGGAGTTCGCTTCTAGTTGCAGCCAAGTGACTGGCGTGTCCCTGCCAATGCTGCCCTCCTCCACAGGGGTCGGCTATTCGATTCCTTCTACCAGTAAGCAGAGGGCATCACCCAGTTCCTCAACAGCACAGGCCAAGAACCAGGCCATGCTCCCTGTTGCTTTGCCCCCACTACCGGTGCCTCAGTGGCATCATGCCCACCAGCTGAAAGCACTGGCAGCCAGCAAGCAGGGATCTGCTACGAAGCAGCAAGGCCCTAGCCCCACTTGGTCTGGCCTGCCCCCTCCAGGCCTCTCCCCTCCTTACCGCCCAGTGCCATCGCCACACCCACCACCGCCACCACCTTTCAGCCCTCAGAGCTTTATGGTATCCTGCATGTCATCCAGCAGCTCATCGAGTAGCACTTTGCAAGGCTCACCCAATGCCTTACTCTCCAGCATGGCATCTAGCAGCCATGCCACCCTTGGGCCCACCTTGCCCTACACTCCTGAGAAGCTCCCAAGCCCAGCTCTCAACCAGCAGCCACAGTTCAGCCCCCAGAGCTCCATCCTTGCCAACCTGGTGTCCTCTTCCATCAAAAGCCCCCAAGGGCACCTGATGTCTGCTCTGCCCACCAGCAACCCAGGGCCATCCCCACCCTATTGCCCAGAGAAGCTGTCCAGCCCAGGTTTGCCACAGCAGTCCTTCACCCCCCAGTACTCCCTCATCCGGAGCCTCACTCCCACCAGTAGTCTGCTGAGCCAGCAGCAACAGCAGCAGCAGCAGCAGCAGCAACAGCAGCAGCAGCAGCAGCAACAGCAGCAGCAGCAGCAGCAGCAGCAGCAACAGCAGCAGCAAGCAAATGCCATCTTTAAGCCCATGACCAGCAACTCCTCCAAAACCCTGAGCATGCTCATGCAGCAGGGGCTAGCCAGCTCCAGCCCAGAAGCCCCTGAGCCATTTACCTTTGCCAACACCAAGCCCTTGTCCCATTTCACTTCTGAGCCAACCCCCCAGAAGATGCCCTCCATGCCTGCTACCTCTAGGCAGCCTTCCCTCCTCCACTACCTGCAGCAACCAATGCCAGCACAGGCCTCATCAGCCACTGCCTCCTCCACTGCCACTGCCACTTTGCAGCTGCAACCACAGCCACAGCAGCAGCCTGAGCATTCGTTCCTCTTGCAGCAAATGATGCAGCAACCCCAGCGCTTTCAGCGACCAGTGGCCTGCGAGTCCATGACCACTCTGCCCAGACAGGTAAGACAATTTTGTCTCTGGTGGTGTCCTCCTTTGCTTGGGAAATCATACCTAGGTTGTATGCCATGGATACCTGGCTTCAGAGGGCAAATCCAGGCTATTGTCCTCTTTCAAACTGGACTGGATTCTGGAAAAGTCTATGTGAGTCAGCTAATTGTGTGTGGTTAAAGCAATTTTCATGAGGCCAAAGCTATGGTTGCAGTGCCCGTTCAGGTCACCTAATTCCCCTGGGAGGAATGTTGCACCCACAAGCCACTCCCAAGGGAAGGAGCTTGGAGGACAAGTCAGGACTGCACAGAAATGGACTGTGTTCCCCTGCATTGAGCCAGGTAGCAAGACTCATGAAGCCTTCATAGAATGTAAGGAAATTGCATGGAAGTGCTTGAGTCTTCTCCTTCCTGGTATAAGGATGAGCGCTTAGCTTTCCACAAATTCCATAGCAGCCTTTTGCTGAGCAACTTCAGCATGCCATTCATCACTGTGTTGGATGCTGAGGCAGATTCTAAAAGGAAATACACACACTTGGAAGGTACTCTTCTCGTCCCCATTTTTCAAACAGAGAAAGTGAGGTTTGGAGAGTTGCAATGACTTGCCCAGAGTCACATGGTTAGCAAGTGATGGAGCAAGAATTTAAAGCCAGGAAGTCTCACTGCAGAGCCTACGCTCTTCTCAAGAGTCCTCTTCACTCTGCCTTCTCTCACTGCTTCATCTCCCACAGTCACGTCAGTCATTAGATGCAGCTGACATTCCTCGGCAGCACCTCTCACAGTTCCTACTGTTCACTGCTCTGATCCTTGTTTGTATTTGTTAGCTATTGCTGTGTAACTAGTTACCCCAGAGCCCCAACTTGCATCCACATACCTGCATTAGCTCAGTTTCTGCAGGTCGGGAATCCTGGTGTCGCTTAGCTGGGCCTCCTGGCTCAGAGTGTCACAGAAGGCTGCAGTCCTCACAAGGCTCTGTGGGGAAGGATCTACTTCTAAACACACTCAGGTGGCAGTTGGCAGGAGACAGCTCTTTCAGGCTGGTGAATTGAGCCCATAGCTCCTCTGGCACTACTGCTCCCCCCTTGGTCACTTGCCACATGACCATCACAGAGCATCTCATGACATGACATCTGGCCTCACCCAAGCAGGTGAGGTGGTTCTCCCAACAAGCCCCAGGAGCAGGGATGTAGACAGGAGCATCCCAACAAGTTAAAAGTCACAGTCCTTATAGCCTAGTCCATGTCTTCTTCAATAGATGGTGGCCACAATACTTGCAGGCAGGGCTCCATGGGCACTGTGTCACAGCTCAGCCTGCTGTAAGTCTGTTAGTCTTGATCTTCCTTTTCACTGTTGTAGCCTTGCCCAAGTCTAGCCCCTCTTAATTAATTGGGTGAAATCATGCAGTTGACCCTTAACTGATTCCCCCCAGTGAATCGACCATTGCTCTACGAGTTGCCTGGCTAACTCAGTGATCCCACTGTGTTCCACACTTTCTCAGAAGTTCCTGAAAGGCCATAGCCTGTCCCTACCAACCTCCTTAGACTAAAAGGTGGTGGGGCCCAGCTTTGAACTTGCTTTCTACAACCTTCAAGTGCTTGAAGCAGGTGATCCACTCTGTGCAGACGTAGCCTTTAGCCCCTCTGCTCCTTACACCTGACTTCCCTTCCTCCCATTTCTCTTCTTCCAGTCCAACTCCATAAGGCTGGGGTACCATTCTCTCCAAAAAGCATTCCCCTGCCCGCCCTCACTACTTCTGCTTCCGTATTCCCACACTGCCTCCCTGTTGTGGAGCTAGTTGGTTAGGGGCCTGGCCCAAGAGAAGCACCTGTTGGGGGCTGACCTCTTATTCCAAGATGACCATGGTAATGTCCTAGAAAGAGATTTTTTTGTTGAGATCTAATGGAGTCTAACCAAGCAGAGTGCTTGGCTCCTGGAAATTGGTCATTTGATAGATATGAACAGCAGGCAGAGTTCCCGAGAGGATAGCCGGGCTGAGTGGCATGATGACAGACACGGCAGGCAGGCAGGACAGGACAGGAGCTTGAGCCCTTGTGTGCAGTGCAAGAGTGCTGTGCTTGCATTTCACTGTAGGGCTGATGTTATCTGTTTGCTTGGGCTTCTGCAGATATCTTGGTAGAGCCACCAGGTCTCTCTCACCAGGACCATGGCCCTCGCCCCAGGCATATTTCACCATCTAATATTGGGGCCTTTGTGTTCTGTTTCTTCTGCAATTGGGCATAGGTGAGGGCCTGGCAATGTTGCCCCAGGGCCACCTCAGCTGGCTCCGAGAAAGAATTCGTTTTTTCCCCCATAATTTTATTGAGAAACAAATAACAATGAGACAGTTTCAAACCAAATTGGTAGGACAGTTTCAATAATTAACACATTGCATACTCTCTTCCTAGTGGTTAATTGCTGTACAAGATGTGGACTTGATATCCTATTTACAAACACTATTAGAACAAATCCCTCTATTCATTAAGAGAATGTAACTATATATCTATCCTAACCACTTTGAATG